ATTTTATGAAATACACTTTTTTCCAACAAATAATGCCTTTACTCACCAATGTGTCTTTGATTGCCAGTCACCTTCGAATAAGCTGTCAACATAGGACTTAAATTTTGATAGAGGCAAGGTTGGACCAAACAAGTTTCCATTGATCGAATGGATTGGAATTGGAAAGGAGCACTTGATGACAGAAAGAAGCTAAAAAGTGATTAACATTAATGTTGTACTTATAAATAAGCTTGTCTTGAAAGTCTTTGCAAATTGCTTGCTTATTAATTAATGTGTTGAAGTTAGCCAATTGGTCATGTTCCCATCTAAAGATGTTCTTGCGAAGCTCGATGTTCCACCTCAAATCATTGCCAATTCAGTCATTAAACTCATCAATATTACCTTGCTTGTTAGTTGCTAAAGCGTAGATTCTAGGAAAGTTTTTCTTGAGAATGAAACCATCAACCCATTCATCCTCCCAAAAGTTGATGCAGCTTTCATTACCCAAGGATAGACCCATACCATTCACCACAAAAAAGTTAGGATCACAAACACTGAAAAGAGGTTTGGTGATAGTTTTTCATATACTGAAAGCCTTGCTCAGGTTTCCTAAGCACAGAATAAGTTTATTATGATCAAGACCAGATTTTTCAACAATAACTTATCTCTATAAGGTTTCCAGCTCATTACCTTTTCGCCACAACCATTTATTAAGAAGGATTTTATTTTATAACCCTAAATCAACAAGACCTAGACCTCTAAGATCATGAAAGTTGCAAACGACAGCCCAACTAACATGGTGAAGTTTACAGACAAGATTTGGACCAACCCATAAGTACCTAATAGTGATAAATTTTATCTGATACATATATAAGAATTCTAATTCCATCGAATCACTCTCATTAAAAAGTGATTTACTTGACTCAATATTATTTATTTAATATCTATCTAAATTATAGACATTTTAAATATTTATATTTTTATTATTATTGAAAAATAAATAAAAATGTAATACTAATATATATAAAAGTATGGATATCTACAAAAAAACAAGTTGACTATAATTTTTCAATTATAACAATAAATTAATAGTAATAAGATTTATTTGGTGTATAGATTTATAAGAATCTTAATGAAATTATAATAATAAATTAATAGAAATAAGGATTTATTTGCTCATTCCTTCTAAACAAGGACCCAAAAACAAATGCAAACAGGAAAAACGACAAATATAAGAGCTAAAATGCAAAAGTTGTTTTACTTGTTCAAAGGTCCATCGTTTTATTTATCGTTTGTGGGAAATGTAACCAACATTAGGCATATCATCATATTCAAATTTCTTCTTAACAAAACAACGAGCAACGAGTTGCAAATTTTTCATATCTAGCAACCCATAAATTTATTCGAAATTATTTCAAAAGTTTCTTTCTTTTTTCCTAACTCAAAAACCATCATTGCCACTTCTATTCTCATTCAATGACTTTATCTTGCTGACTTTTTATGTCAACAAAGAAATCACCTGACTTCGGAAAGAGAAAGCGATTTCAATAAAAAAAAAAAAGGTCTAAATAAGATTGGCATAAAACTAAAAACAGCCATTGCCTACCAAATTAAGTTTAAATAAAGATGTTGAGTTCAAAATAAAATTGTAAACCGTTTTACACTTGAAGGCTATACCTAATGCAACTCTGCTTTTATGCAATGTTAGCTTTAACATTCTAAACTCTGTACATATAACCTGTGTTACAATAATTTGATACAATTGAAATTATAATTCGAAAACCAAGCGAGCTCTCGCTAGTTGTTGAATTTCCCAAGTAGGAACGATTGAATATTAATATATGTCCAAGGCTCACGTTCCCTTTCACAATAAGTTCTTATTCTACAACCTTTAATCCAACTCTCTCCTTGTTTTTCAATTCAACCATGAAGATATCTCATTCATTCAAGTTTTTGTTCCTTTTGCTTTTACTCTTTCAAAACATCAAACAATCCTATCGACAACTTCCTGAGGGTGATAATGTCCCAAAGAATTATCACCAAATCCACCTCCCTCAAGTCACCCAATAAATATTATCGTTATAATTTCATTACGTTTCTTATATATGTATCAGATAAATTTTATCATTATTAATTTATAGTTGTTATCGAAAATATAATCAATAATATTTATTTATAATAACAATTTAAAAATAAAATAAATAAAAGTATTATGTTTTTATTAATAATTTTTTATCAATAGATAGATAAATTAATAGTTATCAACATTAACTTCCAAGTTGGACAAATTATTATAAAATTGAGCATTAACAGGTACTCTTGAATTTTGTTTAACTTAGTGCATTTACTCCTTAATTTTGTTCAATTTATCCATTTTACTTTACAATTTTGTTTAATTTAATCATTATGATGTGGCACAAAATTTTTTTAAATCTATCACGTCATTGTTGTCATGTCAACATGTTAATACCACATCATCATTGCCATGTAAGCATTTCAACCTATGTCATTACCACATCAGCAAATTTTGACACATCAGCATGACATAAGTAACAATAATGACAAAATTGGACGGTGTTAAGGGGAAGGGCTCAATTGCATAAAATTTCAAAATTAAGGACTCAATTAATCACTTTTGAGATAAAAGGATAATTTAACAAAAACACCATAATACAGGGACCTATTATGTACTTTAACTATTTTTCAATAAACAAAATTTATTAGAGACATGAATTGAAATATAACGGTTGAAACCTCTCATAAGTAATGTCACATATTACATATGATTTTGAGACATGATGCTTAATACTTGTTAAGTAAAAAAGAGTCATACCATAAAATTTGAGTGGGTAATGTAAGGAAACATCCTATTATGGAAGAGGTTTCATTATTCTAGTTAATTTGTACTGACTAATGTGCCTAGTTGGTAAATATTGTGGAATTATCATTCTTATATGTTTTAGGGATATCTCTATTTTGGATGCACATTCATTCACCTAAAGGTAGTATTTACAAATTAAAATTAGAGGACAACATATATAAACATTTGTGCAGGAATTGATTAGCCTTACCTAGTAATTTATTCAGCAAAAGGTGATAAGTGAGAAAATTGTAATAAATGACTTTTTTTTTAAATTTTTTATTTTATATGTGAAAGAGTTCCTAAGTGCATATCATGTGTTCAACTTAAAGGTATTTATATGATGATGTGCTTAGAGCTATATAAAATAGAGAATAAAATGATTACAAATGAATACAAGATATGAAATAAATCATTAAGAATGTTATTGACACCACCACAATAATTCAATATGTCTATCATAAATGAATGTGGAAAGAGTGTGGGATGGGAAGGCCCCTGCCCTCCTGCCTTTGGCTTTGCCTTAATAATAACTTAATGTGGATGTTGTACATTCGTTACAAGAATTATTGTATGATAAAAACTTCTACCAAATTTAATCAAAATTTCTGATGATTAAATATTAAAAAAGTTTTAAGAAAATCACTATGGTTATCCTTCTCATAAATGTAAACATAGCATGATATTAAACGAGATTTATTTATTTGTTGTCAATTTTCAATTTTAATTTAATTTATTAACTCTTAAGTGAAATATTTATGAGCTTTAACTGAAAATTTTCGCTTAGCTTCACCCAGTAAAGCATCAATTAGATTTTTTTCCCTTCTTTTCTTGTTATTTATTCTGAATAAAGAAAAGTATTTTTCTAACTCTAAAGTCGACAATGTTGAACCAAAATCATTTAATATATATATATATATATATATATATATATTCCATTTACTATTTTCGTTTCGTAATGAGTTTGAAGAATTCCGGAACAAACTAGCCATCGAATTGTGAATTCTTAATTCATTAATTAGTCTTCAACTCACACCAAGGCAACCCTAAAATATGACAAGGTCCTTCGTTGGTTTTCCGGATAGTAATTGCTATGGTTTTAGTAGGAAGAGAAAATAATTTGTTTGAGTATGCTAACAATGTGTTCATTTTTCCCACAATAAAACAAATGAAATTGGAAATATTCAGTAAGCTGATCTACTCTGCTGTAGACAGTTTGCACAAAAGAAAGTAGTTGAAAAGATTTCTACAAACATCTCCACTAACAAGCGCGGATCCAACCATAGAGTCGATGATTACAAAGGTTTTTCTGCATTGGTTTTGAGACAAAACTGGAAAGGGCAGTGTTATTGCTTTCCAGTTGCTATCACCAGCTGCCCTGATTTTCCAGCCATTGTTAGGGACCCCGCCTGGGAAGTAAAAGGATATTTTATAATAAGGGGAAAGATTAAAGAATACAAATTAATCACTTAACATAACTCTAACAATCGCACTTGTAAAACGGGAGCATTAACATGCATTAGTCTTTATTATTATATATGGACAGTAGATATTTTCTCAACAAATTCTACCCTTCTTTTCCAAAAAAAAAAAAGGGAAAACTTTAGGAAAACCAAGTAAGAAATGCTGATTTTGGTTTTTCCCCCTTCTTATCATAACTATTTATTGCGAAAATAGCAAGTGGGAATATTTATTTTTATCACGTTTTTTCGTTTGTCTTCCTGATTTTGGTTTTCTTTCTCAATTTAAATGTTGGTATTTAATTCTTCGTCCCAATTTGATTTACCCTCTAAAAGAAACTAATCAATGTCCATCAATCAATTTTGAGAGAGGAAGTAATCTCTTGTTGCATATCATATGATAACGTATTACATACAAAATAGGGAGAATTCTCAAAGAACAAAGGAATCATGAGTTGGCTTGAGGAGGAAAAAGAATCGAAAGAATATTGATCTAATTAATAGCTGTTTATGTTGCCTCTAAGACATGTTGCATTCTGGAGGTTGACCTTGGGGAAATCTCTTGGTGTCAGTGCAGTAGTTGTAGATCATGTAGTTCT